AATCTTTTCAAACTTTTTCAAACTTTCTGGTCCGGCTTTCTCAAGCCAACTTAAAGTTTGTCTTGACGAACTTTTTTATCTAGTTATTATTGTTATTCTTCTGATCCTAAATTATCAACTCTATCTCCTCCTAGAGCTTTAACTCTACAGACTCCAAATTCAGCCCAGCTCTTCAGACTGATCTGGCCGGGTGTGCTATATCTTTTCTAACTGATCGGACTTATGGTTTTCTTAAAAATGAATATTAAAAATCATAAAAATCCCATAGACTTACATTGAAAAGTCTCTGCTCACCTGAACATTCCGTCAAACTCCAACGGTCAAAATTCAAATCTAAACACACTGAAGCCCATTAGACTCAATCAGACTTCACTTCTATGTACTATTTCTAACCCATTCAAACTCATTCAAACTCTTCTATCTATCAATCTATCTATCAATCATCTGACTATTTCTATCTATCTATCTATCATCTGACTATATCTATCTATCTATATATCTTCATAGCAACACTCTAGCAACTATCCAAACCAACCTAGCAACCCGCAGTATTGTAACACCTTAGCAACCACCCCGGGTACCCTAGCAACCACCCCGAATACCTTAGCAACCGCATAGCAATACCTTAGCAACTGCCCGGGTACCCTAGCAACCGCATAGCAACACCTTAGCAACCGCCCCGGGTACCCTAGCAACCACAAAGCAACACCCTATCAACCATCCCGGGTACCCTAGCAACCACCCTGGGTGCCTTAGCAACCACATAGCAACACCCTAGCAACCACCCCGGGTACCCTAGCAACCGCATAGCAACACCCTAGCAACCACCCCGAGTATCTTAGCAACCGCATAGCAACACCTTAGCAACCACCCCGGGTACCCTAGCAACCGCATAGAAACACCCTAGCAACCATCCCGGGTAACAAAAACAACATAATATCGGCAAAATTTCAAATGTAGTAAGCCAGCCTGACCACCAGGAATGTGCTACAACCTTTGGAACATGAAAAACACCTTTTGGTGAATTTTAGTACTTTTTTCTAAAAATAATTATGTACTGTATGTACAGTAAGAGATATATTGGCAAACCTTCACCTGTAGTAAATCAGTCTGGCCACTAGACTTGTGCCGGTATTCGGTAATGCGATATATCACGGTAATGAATATGCACGATATTGTTATCGTGGGCACTTCTAAATACCGTGAATAATTATATATAACAAATTATTCAGGTAATATATAATTATTCACGGTATTTAGAAGAGCCCACGATAACAATATCGTGCATATTCATTACCGTGATATATCGCGTTACCGAATACCGGCACAAGTCTAATATACAGTAAGAGAGATATTGGCAAAATTTCATGTGTAGTAAGTCAGTCTTGTATCTAGGAATGTACTACAACCTTTGGAGTGTGGGGAAAAAATGGGTAAATTGCTATATTTTTGTCAAAATATTTGTGTACTGTACATACAGTAAAGGAGGTATTGGTAAAATGTCACCTATAGTAAGTTAGTATTGTAACTAGGAATGTACTATGCCCTTTGGAACATTAATAAAAACACTTCTGGTGAATTACAGTATTTTTTTCATGAAAATATTTGTGTACTGTACAGTAAGGGAGATATCGGCAAAATTTCAAATGTAGTAAGTCAGTCTGACCACTAGGTTTAGGTTACCCACTGCTGTGTGAGCTACTGAAATGAGCGGCACTGTGAAACAGCCAATCAGAGCAGAGCTCAACTTTGAAAAAAAAAAAAATATTGTAAATTACTGTAATTTTTTCATAAAATATTTGTTCATTGTACATACATCAAGGGAGATATTGGCAAACTCATAAGTTTTGTAACTAGGTATATACTACAACCTTTGGAACATGAAAAAGCCTTTTTGGTGAATTACAGTAGTTTTTTTCTAAACATATTTGTGCACTGTACGTCCAGTAAAGCAGGTATTGGCAAAATTTCACCTGTAATAAGTCAGTCTTCTACAACCTACAACCTTTGTAACATGAAGACAAAAAATACAGTACAGTATTTTTTTCATGAAAATATTTGTGTACTGTACAGTAAGGGAGATATTGGCAAAATTTCAAATGTAGTAAGTCAGTCTGACCACTAGGACTGTGCTAAAACCTTTGGAACATGAAAAAAAAACCTTTTGGTGAATTTTAGTACTTTTTCCTAAGAATAATTATGTACTGTATGTACAGTAAGAGAGATATTGGCAAACCTTCACCTGTAGTAAATCAGTCTGGCCACTAGGAATGTACTACAACCTTTGGAACATAACAAAAGCCTTTTGGTGAATTACAGTATTTTTTTCATGAAAATATTTGTGTACTGTACAGTAAGGGAGATATTGGCAAAATCTCACCTGTAGTAAGTCAGTCTGGACACTTGGAATGTACTACGACCTTGAACAGCCGTTTGGGTACTTACAGTAGTTTTTTATGAACACAATTGTGTATTGTACTGCATATATGAAGGAAGGTATTGGCAAAATCCCACCTGTAGTAAATCACTATGAGTTATACACGCTTTACAGTTTGGCAACGTTTTTTTTAAATGTTAAAAGTCACGTTAGTTAAAATACATTGGATGTTTTAAACCCAATCGGTGGAATTGTCAGACGGTCAACAAAACCATATCTGCAGATTAAACTTTTTTTGTAGAAGCATTTTTAAATTTGAACTAGCACCTCATGACTACACCTTGTTATGTACGAAAAGCTGCAAAAGACACCGGCGCAAATGGAATGTACAAAACATGGTGACATTAATTTTTAAGTAAATATAATGTGCGATATATTGCGTCACCAAAAATGATTGAGGTCACGTACATATATTGCGCGATAAGTCGATATATTGATTATTGCGACAGGCCTACACACAACCAAATCCTAATGCTATTTCACAAAATAACACAACAACGGCTGATCCGTTACAACATGTACATGTCAAGACTGTTTTATCATAGGTATATCATATTATTATTGAATATAATTGTTTAGTCTAAATATGTGTTAACAATTTTTTTTTTTTTACTAGTGTGCGATATATATCGTCTGCGATAATATCGTAATTGTTGTTTTAACGATGTGCGATTTGACATTATCGAGTTATTTTGCAAAAACCATTCAAAACATCCCTACAGAGCACACGCATACATTACGTGAAGCCTAGACTAGTGCGTGTTCGCATTTAGTGTGTTTTCTTTCACCACATGATTCAGTCTATTAAAATGCTTTTAGAATGATCACAAATTCAAGACATGATGGCAGAAAATTTATATATTTATACCACTTCATATAGTTATTAATTTCACACGAAGAGTGCCGTTTTTCTCCAAAAATTACCATGATTACAAATGTGACATTGAATTCAATAAAC